TCAGGGCCCCTGGAATCCAGACCCCCAGGTATCTGGGCCCTTGGACATCAGGGCCCCTGGAGGCCCAGAACCCTAGACATTAAGACCCCAGGACATCAAGGCCCTTAGACACAGGGACCTCTGGACATCTAGATCCCTGGATATCTAGACCCCTGGACATCAGGCTCCCTGGACATCTGGATCCTGGGATATTCAGACTCCTGGACATTGAGACCCCTGTATAATAGTCCCCTCATATGCACCCTGCCTCCATTTCCAAGCTCATTTCCCTGCAGAAGACCCAGGATACTGGGGTCCTCTGCCCCATTCTGAAGAAAGAGAAGAGGCAGAAATTCATCTCCCATTGACGTCTCACTCCAAGATCATGCCCTGAGCCTCCTGCCCAGTCCACCACTCCCTGCCCCTCCGATCCTACCTTCAGTTTCATTCTGAGAGCAGAAAATGAAAGAGAAGGAATAGCTTAACTTAACAGGCCTTAGACCCTTGTTCTCAGGAGGAAAAAACAATGAGCAAATTTGTCAATGAAGGCCCCACTTATACCTCTATTGCTGAGGCTAATGTGGAACTCAAAAATGCTTCTGCAAATGCAAACATCTTTTCATTTACTCCAGGTTGCTAATGCCTTTATCCCAGGCAGGGCGGAGGAGCATGACTTTGGAATTTGAAGGGACCTTGAAGGCTGTCTAATCCAGCTTCCTAATTTTACAGGAGATGGAACCTCAGAAGCCCCAGCACATGTGAACGTTACAGCTGGGCAGGTGGTTACCTCCTCTATAACTTAGACTCAGAGCTTTCTGGGGCACTGAGAGGATAAGTGACTTGTCCAGGGTCACAGTGCCAGGTTGAGTCAAGGCTGGATGTGAACCTAGGTCTTCCTGATATGAAGGCCAGGCCTTTATCCACTATGCTGGGCTGTCTTACACATTGAAATTTGATGGAGGGAAATGTAAAATCTTATATTTGGGTTTTAAGAAAATCAGCTTTTTAAGTACAAGATGGGGGAGGCATGGTGTGACTGCAATTTGTCTGAAAGGGATATGGGGGTTACTGTGGGCTGCAAGCTCCTTATCAGTCAGTAGCATGACGCAGTTCAACCAAAAAAGCTGGTAGGATCCTAGCCTGCTTTTGGACAGCCAGTTGTAAGGTGGTACAGTAGATAGAGCACCAGGCCTAGAGTCAAGAAGACTCATCTTGGAGTTGGCGGGGTGGTCTCTCTTTCAGATCCACCATCAACGTGTGGACCCAGTGCCACGATGCAGATTTCTGTGAAGACTTTGGTTGGGAAGACCATTAACCTTGAGGTTGAACCGTCTGATACTATTGAAAATGTCAAGGCCAAGATACAAGATAAGGGAGGTATTCCCCCTGATCAACAAAGACTGATTTTTGCGGGCAAGCAACCGGAAGATGGTCGAACTTTGTCTGACTACAGCATTCAGAAGGAGTCTATCATTCATCTTGTTCTGAGGCTTCGTGGTGGTGCCAAGAAGAGAAAGAAGAAGTCTTATACCACTCCCAAAAAGAACAAGCATGAGAGAAAGAAGGTCAAGCTTGCAGTTCTGAAGTACTATAAGGCTGATGAGAATGGCAAGATCAGCCGTCTTCGACGAGAGGGCCCTTCTGTTGGATGTGGTGCTGGGGTCTTTATGGCTAGCCATTTTGACAGACATTATTCTGGCAAGTGCTGTCTAACCTACTGCTTCAACAATCCAGAAGACAAGTAAATGTATATGTGTTAATAAAAAATAATCAACTGATAAAAAAAAAAAAAGAAGGCTCATCTTGCTGAGTTCAAATCTGGCCTCAGACACTTACTTGCTATGTGACCTTGGGTAAGTCACTTCACCCCGTTTGCCTCAGTTTCCTCATATGTAGAATGGGCTGGAGATGGAAATGGCAAACCACTCCAGTGTCTTTGCCAAAAAAACCCCAAATGGAGTCACGAAGAGTCACACAGGACTGAAATGACTGAACAGCAACATAAGAAGGTAGGAATCCCTCTGTCCTCTGCCCTGGACTGGCCACAGCTCGGGGCTTGTGTTCAGCTCTTGGCCCTGCATTTTAGAAAAACTGGAGTGTGGCCAGGGGAAGGCAATCACAATAGGGAAGGGTTCTGAGTTCATCACCCATGAGGACTATGGCATTAGCTCCCATTCAGGGCTTCCCCATCACTGTCAGAATCATCTTTATCACACATGCACGTGGTCTCTCCTCTGCTCTAAACATCATCATGGTCTCCCTTTTGCCCACTGAGTCATGTTTAGATTCACTTTTTTCCCTGGCATTCAAGGCTCTCTGTGATCTGGCAGCATCCGGTCTCGTTCCGTCACTCTCCTGCACACACACTACATGCCAGCCAAGCAGGATGAGTCTGCCTCAGGAAGGTGCCCTGACCATCCTCAATCCCCACTCTGGGCCTCTGCCTAGGTAATTACTTCCTTATGGTGCTTTCTGTCTTTGCCAGTTCCTTTTGATTTAATGCAATCAACATTATTTGAGTGCCTACCACATGCCAGGCACAGAGAAGCCAAAAACAACACAGTTTCTGCCTCTGAGGAACTTATATCCTACTGTTGAATTCCTGTCTGGTCTTTCACGCCCCCAGTCCACTGCCACTGACCCCAGGACACCCCCTCCCCTGGCTCCCCAGGCTTCCAGCATCTTCCCCATTAGATCTCATGTCACACTGTATTTGTCCCTCTTGAATTAGGGAACATTATGTGTACTGTTGTCTGAGTCATGAGGGCAGGGCCTGGGCCAGACCTCATCTATCCCCAAACCCATGTGTCCTCATATTGTAGGCACCATATCTCTTAATAAAGGTTTGTTGAATATCCCTGATGCCAAATCGTGACCTAACCAGGGATAAGATTTCTGCTTGATATTAGGAAGGACTTTCTAACACTCCAAGCTGCATGGGCAGCCTTCTCTAGTAGTGAGCTCCCTGTCATGGGAGATATGCAAATAGAGACTGGGTGGCCACCTACCTGTTGACAGGTTTTTACACTGGAACTGGATGACTTCAAAGGTCCTTTCCAACTGGGGACTCTAGGGCTCTGTTATCTTACATATAAGCAGTTACACCCATGTTTTTCTGGAGAACAATGGTATCTTATGGGTGTGACATGGAGTATGTATGTGGAAAAGGTGAGGGTCAGAGTGACTGACAGAGGCTGGTGATTGTCTCGAGGGGTGTGACCCAAGACAGGAAGGGAGGCAAGAACGGTGCACCAAAGACTACCTGGCTTGTAGTCTGGAAAGAAAAGGGGCTTGCGAATGGCTTTCTGGGGGAGGGAGAGATCTATGGGAGGAGGGGCCAATTCAGCTCCCAGATACCTCCCTACCTGGAACCAGCCCTCACGGAGTCTGCCTTCCCCAGAGACTTGTATCATCCAGCCGGGGTAAGGGAGACAGAGTAACCTGGACGCTAGACATGTGGGACACTGAACCTAGCAGTGTCCTGGGGCCATGCTGTCCATCTGTAACTGACTGACCCACGGGAGCTTTTTCTCTGGTGTGGATGAGAGGTGGCTTCTGACGGCTCCCCCAGCAATACAGACCTTCTGGTAGACCCTACCATGCCAGAGAGACTTTGAGCCAAGGCCTGGAGATAGAGCGGGCCTGTTGTCTGAGATCAGAATCATGGGATCTGAGAGCTGGAAGAGCCCCAACCAGGAAGGAATCTCTGCTGTAACATCCCAGACTAGGGGTTGTCCAGCCTCTGCTTAAAGACCTCCAAAGACGGGGAGCTCACTACCTCCTGAGATAGCCCAATCCACTTTAGTAAGTTCTTCTTGACATCCTGACTAAACTGGCATCTTTGCAACATCCCTGCCCCCTCCGTTTTTCCTAGTTCTGACCTCAGGAATCAAACAGAAAAGGACTGATCCTTCCTCCATATTACAGCCCTTCAAATACCCAAGATGGCACTCATCCCCCTGAGCCTTCTCTTCTCCAGTTTAAACACCCCAAGCTCCCTCGACAGAGACTCTTAAGACATGGGCCCAAGGCTATTCCCCATCCAGGTGGCTGATCGATGTCCTTCTTAAAATGTGGCGCCCAGAAATGAACCTAGCCTTCCAAAGGAGGCCCGATCCCAGCCCTCCTGGCCCTCGGCCCCCTCCGACACATTGTCAAGAGTTGTGACTCCCCCAGGAAGCTATGGCTTTTCCCCCAGCTCATAGAACTAGTGCTACAGAGCACCTTGGAGGCTACTAAGAGGTTGCCTTAGAGAGAATAAGGTGGAGGTCCAAAGAAGAGAAGCAGCTTGAATAACAAGGCGGTGACTAGAAAAGGCAGAATTTGAACCCACATCCTCTGACTCTAGATCCAGCATTCCTCCCACCGCTGGGCTGCATCCCCACACTTGGACTTTGGTTCTCTGGGCTAGATCCTCCTGGTTCCTTTAACAAGCATGGCCTCGGCCATTTCCAGACTTTCTCGGGTTCTCCTTGAGACCCTAAGCTCTTCCTCCCCCATGCCTTCTCCAGCCCTGATGAGGTGGGGAGGAGTGGAGAAACCTCTAGATCCCCAAAGCTAGAAGGAACCTCCAAGTTCACCTAGACTCACTTGCTTCTCAAGGTTGGACCCTTGGGGAGTCACCCAGTGTCTGATGAAACACCTTTAGTGTTAGAGACTCTTACTGGAAAGACCCAACCGGTCCAGTGACCTTGCCAACCAATAGGAAGGCCAGTTACTGGGGGAAAGGGAGTCTTCCTATGCCAGAAAGTGAGAAGGGCCTGCATCAACACTGCTTGAACAGGTCACAGGGAGATCCCATTCCCCAGAGAGGGAGCTGGGCTGGGTGGGGACAGGGTTGAGGCCCCACAAGCCGTTATGCCTGGGCTATCTTTCCTTAGTGGACTGCCTTCCTCCCCACCCCCAGCAGAATGAGGTCAGGGACACCTCAGCAAAAGGGTGGGTCAGAGAAACTCGGCCTACAGCCAGAGGCCCAGCTTCTGGACAGAGGAGATAAGAGGAGGAGGAGAACGCCATCACTGTGTTCATTCCTCTAAGCAGCCCCAGTCCTCCCCCTCCAGGACTCAGTCTCCTACTCAGGGACTGTCATTTGGAAGGGAGTTCCTTAGAGGCCAAGAGCTGCCTCCCCATGTGGGCTCCCCAGGGCAGGGCTGTGCCTGTCCTCCTCTTTCCCTCTCCACGGGGCTTCCCGACGCCCCCAGCCTTTGCCTCCCTCCCACCACAGGCCAGGGCACTCACCCACTTGGGTGGGGAAGACGTCTTCATTGTTGATGAGCCCCTCGATCCAGTCCATGAGCAGCGCCATGTAGCGGGGTGCGGGCAGTTTGGCCGGCCGGCGGTACTGATGCTCATCCTGCCAGCGGTACTCGTAGCGTGGGCCGCCCGACATCACAGGGCAGCTGGCCTCCGTGCAGCACTCTCCCATCGTCCCGTAGATGAGGTTGATGCGGTTGAAGAAGTCCACCACGTGCACGGCCAGCCAGTCATTGATGCTCTCCCCAGGCGGCAAGCGCACCACGGCCCGCAGGTCCAGGCCCGACTTCAGCGAGGCCTGCGCCTTCTTGTAGAGCTCAAAGCGTTCGGTTCCTGGCTCAAAGCGCTTCCGGGGCCGGAACGTCTTGTCCTTGTTGAACACCTGTTTCAGGCACAAAGCCATGGCTGGGTGGCTGAAGCAGCTCGGGCCTGCGAGAACAGAAGGAGCTGTGAGTGGCCAGCCCCCTGCCCTCAGGACACCCCGGCCACCACTCAAGATACTTACTGTGTGGCCCCGGACAAAGATTTCATAACTCGGTTGGGCCTCAGTTTCCTCATCTGTAAAACGAGGGGGTTGAGAATGATGGTCTTTAAGATCCCGACCATTTCTGGATCTATAAGCCTAGGTTACTGTTTCTGCCTTTTTTCACACTGTTCCTGAAACCTGGAACATCTGCCTCCCCCCATCCCCCATATTGAAATCCTACCCATCCTTCCCTGGCCAACCCAAATTCCACTTCCCACAGGAAGCTTTCTTGATAGAATCCACACTTGGCATTCGTCAAGGACCTCCTACGTGCCGAGCAGTCATAGCCTGCCCCACTCGGACCTCCCCCGGCAGCTTCCTGAGCCCTCGCTGATGCCCCCGGCATGTCATCTGGAGCACTGGAGTTCTCGGTAGAGGCCAGGCAGACCTTGCTAGAAGCTGGGCTCCATGAGGGGAGGGGCTGGTCTGGCTTCAATGGAAACTGGGCATCTCCCCCCCAGACCCTACCACAGTCATGGGCTCAATGCCTTCTCCATTTTTCCTGTGCTCTATTAGGGCCAAGGACCAGGCCCGTGGCCAGCCACCCTCAATGCAGACATTCCTGGCACTGCTCTACAGAGACACTGGGCATCGTCTTCCTTCGAAAACAAGAACTTTCTCTCAGCTCTGCTAGCAGGACAGTCCTGAGGCAGGGGGCTGGACACGATGGCCTTGTTGACCACAGCTGCCCTGTGCTTTGTGTTGGTTGGCAATGGGATACTTCCTCCTGGATATCCCGTCATCCATTCCGGCCTGGGGATTCCCAGGGCATGGGGGAGGGACGTTTCTGCCCAAAAAACTCTTTCCGGTTTTTCTGGCTGAAAGAAGAAAGAGCCCAGCAGGATGTGTGGGCTGCAGGCTGGGGAGGTGGGGAGGAAAAGAGGAGGGGCCCCCTCAGAGGACTGACAGGAGCAGCCACAGAGGGGGAGGACTAAGTAGGTTGTGGGGCGGGCAAGGATGGGCTTCCTCACCCAGGAAGACTCTAATTCAGCAAATGTGTGGCCAAGCTCTGCTAGGCTCTGGGGAGCGAGAAGAGGAATCAGGCATCACCCACCCCTGCCAAGGATGCTGCTGGCTGGCTGGACAAGGAAGGATACCAGTAACCATCTGCTTATATCCAGAACTGGAGGAGAGAGAACCCAGATACTGTGGGGTACAGCCTTAGGAGACCTTCCAGAAGAAATGGCCACCTAGTCCTAGAATCCTTGATGTACATCCCCAACAAGTGATTATTCAGCAACGCTTGAAGACCCCAAAGGAGAGGGACCTCCCATCTCTCCATCCCTTTGGAGAGAGCTCTCATTGTGGGGAAAATTTTCCTGTCTGTCCCCCTGTTTCTGGTTCTGACTCTGGGGCCAAGGAGAACAACACTCATCCCTCTTCCCCTGGCAGATCTCCAGATACTTGAAGGCATCGCTCACGTGCCCCCTGAGTCTCCTCTTTTCCAGGTGAAACAGTTCCAGTTCCTTCAACTGAGACACCTATTTCAGGAGGCCTTACCCCGGAGACTAGTGAAACAGGTGTGGAAGATTCATGCCCTTCACCTTCCCGGTGTGGCCCTCGTCTAGACACTCCACCTTATCTGTGGTGCCCAGAACCGAACACAAGCTTCTATTCGTAGCCTGACCAGAGGGACTCTTCCCTCTTCTGTCCCACTTTAATAAAGCCTGACATCACCTTCACTTTCTTGGCTGGTATACCACATTGCTGACTCATAGGCAGAATCCTGATAAGCCACGGACCCTGCCCTCGCTCTTACCCCCTTTAACACTGTACTCTTTCGACACCTGCAGATTCAATCTGTCCAGTAGTCATTACTGAGCATGGACAGGGAACTTTTTCTGTAGCTCTTGCAGGGCTGGCGTATCATCTACTACTCTCTGTGGGGGTGGACGGGCTGGCACGGGTGTCCCGTGTCTCCGTAGAAGCTTTATGTAGACACATCTGCTGACTCTGGGTCTGGACGGTTCACTGCCTTTACGTGTCAAAGGCTGACCCATTCAAGTACGGCTCTTTGTAGTCCCCCTCCCATCCCCCACCCTCTATTCCTGGGCAGAGAGAGGTGCAGAGGGGGCCCAGGGAGGAGGCAGAGCCAGTCCACGCTGATCAAAATCCAAGCCCCCATTGCCCTGCGAACTTGACCATCCCTGGCCTTCCACACTGAAGTCTTCCGGGGAAGGGACCTTGAAAACTCTTCACAACCTGGTTCTTTCCTCCCTTTCTAATCTTACACATTACTGCCTCCCACATACACAACCACCCAGCTACAATGGCATTCTTCTTGTTCCTCAAAGGCAACACTCCATTTCTCATCTCCTTGCCTTTATTTGTACTGGCTGTCCCTCATGCTTGGGGTGCCTTCCCTCCTCACCTAGGCATCCTAGTTTCCTTCAAGACTCCACTCAAGTCTTACCTTCTGCAGGAGGTTTCTCCTAGAACCTTGACTGCTAGCTTCCCTGCTTAGATTACCTTCCATCCAACCTGAATCTTCTATGTACCTAGCGATTTACTTGTTGTTTCCCTTATTAGAATGTAAGCTCCTGGAGGGCAGAGATGATGTTTTTGCCTTTTTTTTTTGGTATCCCCAGTGCTTGGCACAGTTCCTGGCATACAGTAGGTGCTTGTTAGTCCAGAGCATATCTTTTCCATTCTAATTCTGTGCCTTCCAACTCAAAGGACATGGAATAAGAGCTAAAAGCAGTTGACGTATTGGCAGATGTCCAGGGGTCCAGACCAGAGAGGACTGAGGAGGGAAAGGAAGTAGCATTGAAGGTCCTTCACAATTGGGTTCCAGTCTGACTTTCCAGCCTTGTTTCCCTTCACACACTCTGCATTCTAATCAAACAACCAGCTTTCCCCAAACCTGACCCTACCCCTACCACCTGCGTGTATCCAAACGGGCTGGTGGTCATGCCTGGATTACATTCCTCCCCCTCAAATCTCCTTTTGGAAGTTTGGGGGTTCGGCCCAGGTTCCTCTGAAGAGTCTGTTCTCCTCCCTGAGGCCTCTTCTCCAGAGGATGTTGGGGAGATAGGCAGAAGGATGTGTCTGACTCATGGAAGCCCTCCTGGCTTCCATCAATGTAGACACTGTGGGGGTTGGTCAGGGCTCAGCTCACTTTGCTCCTTCCTTTCTGAGGAGGGGCCCACAGGGCAAGGCCGTCCCAGGCTGAATGGGACAGGGGTGTGGAAACCCTCAGGCTGGTCACTCCCAAGGGAGCCCTCCCAGAGAGCCAAGCCCTCAAAATCTGGTTGTGGTGTTTTTTCTTCTTTCTGCAGGGTCCTAGTGATTCCAGCTGGGGGTGGGTGGGTTTGATCCTCTCATACCTTAGCGTACAGGGCCCTTAGAAATGGCCTTGTCTGGCCCCTTCTGAAGGCACACAAAGACTAAATACTCAGGGTCATCCCACTGATAGACTAGTGATTTTCCTTGAAACAGAGACCTTCAGCAATGCTGACAAGGCACTTTCTGAGACAGCACAATCATTCTGGCTTTCCTGAGGAGTATGGCTGGGGTTGGTGGGGCTGGCTGGGCTTGAAGCCAGCTCACTGGTCCATTCCGCTGCACTGCCTCTCCAAGAGTCCGCCTCTGTCTGTGTCACACACACACACACACACACACACACACACACACACACACACACACAC